TCTTTATTTTTTTCCTTACATCTTAATATTTATTATATATAATTTTCAACGGTGTTCGTAACTACGCGTTACCAACCGTGATCAAAATTATATATTTTAAAATTCTTTTCTTTAAAAGTTAGTACAATCTTCAACGGTGATCATAACCATTGCGTTATCAACCGTGATCAAGATTACTAGCTTTTCCTAAATATTCCTTTTTAATCCTTTGCAACGGTGCTCGTAATAACGCTTTACCAACCGTGATCCAAAGGGTTAGATTCCACCACTTACATAATACAGTTCATCTTCAACGGTGATCATAACCTCCGTGTTATCAACCATGATCAAGATAACTGTCTTTTTGTAAAAGTCCCCTTAATCTTTTGCAACGATGTTCATAACTACTCGTTACCAACCGTGATACAAAGTGTTATACTTCTATTTTCACCTTAAATTAAATAGTTCCTAAAGTAAGACTGATATGATAGTTAGCTGTTTAATATATATTCATCTTTTTTTTAAATAAAACATAACAAATCGATTATTTGAACAATTTGCGTTAATTTTCGTATTTAAAGTTAGTAAAAAACAAATTTAAAAGAGATCAAACAAAGAAACGTTTCAATATCTATAAAAGTGTGGTATCACTTTGAGAATAAAATCAGATATCACACCAATTTCAACATCATCTTTATATATACATATATAAATAAACTCATTAATTATATTTTTTGAAATAATAAACAAATTTTTACAACAAAATTTAAAAATGGTTTTCATTTGTCACAATATAGAACCATTCACCTCTTGAGTATATTTCAAAATATTTTAGGTCAGATTATACCTTATAAAGTCGTACAGAGAAAATTATCTACAAGTTAATACCTAAAAATATTTTCATCTAAATGTTGTAAGACATTGTAATATATTTTCGACACTATTTAATACCCTATACTTTCAATTAGTTTGTGAAAACTTACTCCGCATGATAAACATACAATTTATTTAATTAAAATCAGCCTATGACATGTAGAAGTTTTGTAACCTTACTTTCTTAATGTTTTTTGTAGTAACTAATTCTTCATCTTCTATTTCCTCGCCTTAATATCAACTACTTAACACTCTTATCCTAAGCTTCCACTTAACACGATCTCCCACATCATCTACGCTCATGTCAGCCGTCCTCATATCGTAGTTACTAATTAATTTTGAAAAAAATATTTTTCTTTATAAAAAATTTAATTTAAATGTAATGTAATAAACAAAATTTGCTATCGATATTTTCATTATTATTTAATTTTATCAATCAGAACTCTCTTATTCTACAATAAGAAACATTAATAATGCAATAAAAATACACGAATAATAATAATACTTTAATTAACACTTTTTTATTTTAATTCATGTAAAAACCATTTTAAACATATTAATCATAAACAAATACGAAGCAACTTTTTTCCTAATTAAAAACATTCTTAATTATTTAAGATAAAATTTACTTTTTATGAAAGTCAAAATTCCATTTAACATTTGTTTTAACAATCTAAAAATCAAAAAATATTTAAAAACAAAATCCGATTAACAATTTAGATTTTAAATTATTTTGCATATAATATGAAAATAATAAATTTTTAATTATTATGTAACAAAACACAGTGTACATCAATTAGGAAAACAAAACATTTTTTGTAGTGAAAACTTCTCTTGAGGGGCTCTGGATTTCATTGGAATAAACAGGTGAAACGAGTTAACGACACTGACAAATGTATATCTGTACACATACATTCTTTATGTATACAGTGTTATTCGATAGTATATTATTAGATTCAGAAGATCTTAAGGTTTAAACATGAAAGACAATATCGGGCATATGCCCTCCCCTACTAGCCCTGCACGCAATAACTCTGTCCATGAAATTCACCATCACCCGAACACACACATCTACATCGATTTGGCCAAGAACTCGTTGAATTTCACGCTTGAGTTCCGTCACATTTTTAGGTTTGTTTTCGTAGACTTGTGACTTAGTGTAACCCCACAAAAAAAAGTCACATGATCGAGGTGGATAGACTTAGTCTCCCCGCAACGAGATTAGTCGGTCTGGAAATCTCGCACGAAGGAGTGCAACTGTTTCTGCTGATGTGTGGCACGTTGCATCATCCTGTTGGAACCAAAGGTTATTGATGTTCATTTGATCCAATTGAGGCCATAGGAAATCAGTGAGCATTGCTCGGTACCGAACTCCATTAACAGTGACTGCATTATTTTCTTTGTCTTCAAAAAAGAAAGGGCCGATCAAACCTTCACTCCAAATCCCACACCAAACCGTAACTCGTTGAGGATGCATTTCTCGTTCTTGAAAAACTCTTGGGTGCTCAGCTCCCCATATTCGGCAATTATGCTTGTTAACAAAGCCATTGAAATGGAAATTGGCTTCGTCACTGAAAATTATGCGCTTACCAAAATCCTGGTTTTCTTGTTCCATTTTCAAGATCCAATCCCAAAATTGCCGTCGTTTTCCGTGATCTGTTGGTTTGAGTTCTTGAGTTAATTGCACTTTGTAAGTGAAGATCTTTTGTAAAAACCCTAATAACCCTAATGCACAGATGATGCTGACATGTTCATTTCTTGAGCACAACGGCGATGAGATTTTCGTGGACTCATCAGAACTGAATCACGCACAAGAGCCACATTTGCCTTATCCGACCACTTTGATGACGTCTTCAACTGAACCACTTGCTTCGAATTTTGTGACTAAACGACAAACAGTTGATTCTTTTGGAGCATTATGATGCCCTATAATCGTACGTAGACAGCGAATGGTGGCTGCGAAACTTTCACTAATTCTATAATAAGTTTGAATGAACAAATACGTTGTTTTGTAGTGTATGATTTGGTATATTTTTTTTTATAAATTTGAACCGTTACCTGACCACGGGGGACTTAAAATGACAACTTTTTCACATAAAATTTACTTTTTCGATTTAACTTTTGAAAGTGTTTCGGAAAGTCTGATTTTTTTATATATATCTTACATTAAAGCTAATATAATGTACTTTATTACGGAAAAAAAATATTTTGGGAATTATTTTGTCTTTACGGTGAAAAAGGCTACCGAATGCTATTTTTTTATGATAATACTGGATTTTATTTTTTACATTTATAAGTTTATAATGCTACAACTTATTTAAAATTGTATAGATCATGTTATGATACATACACCACTCATTATTCAGTAGTCTATATGTTATTATATTAGTCATCAAATTAAAAATATATTATTCATGTTAATACTTTAAAGTATTCCAAGAAATATGTCTAAAAATACATTGATATAAATCTACTGCAATAATTATAAGAAATTCTTTAGTTGTGACAAAGTATCTATTTTAAGTAAAATAATATGTAATATATAACACAAATTGAGTAATAAACAGATAATATTAAAATGTTGTGACACTTCTTGCTTATATAGATGAATTAAATTTAATATAAAAGGGCATAAAAATTGTCAATCTCTCTCACTACTACTTCACCTTATGAACTTTTGACGAATACAAGAAGTGGCTTGACAAAATAAGATTTTACATAGAAAATTGAAGTACATTCATTTTTTCAATATTAGTCCTGATATCATTAACGTAAATTCATATTCTACAAAAGATCCATAATGTTTAAAGTTAAAAATAATGAGTACATAAATTAAGTAGGAAACTAGAATAAAAAAAAGTGATCTCTAAAATAAAATATTGTCTAAATAAATAAAGAGAATCAATAACGTTTGTACGAAGTTAGCCAGCCTAGTCTAATCTTTGAGTGGGTTACCTGTATAGTCAATACTAATAAAGATTCTCTTGCGAAGATAGAGAACCCACTTGTGGTTTCTATACTACTCCAGGTATTTATTGACTCGAGTCACAGTCAACACAAACCTAGATAACAACTGGTACGAGTGGCGTTTTTGATGATCTATGTGTGATAATTAATCACAATAATTACTATTATTAAATTAATAAATTTTCAAACATCACTTTGCTTTTCTATATTTTACATCATCTCATAAACCCTCGTACTCTATCCTGAGAGAAAATTATATAATATCATTTTTTTTATTCAATAAATATTATAGTAACTCAATTATTCTCATGCTCATACAAGATCAACAAATAAGAATAATTCTAAAAAATTATTCTTTAATCATATTAATAAAATTATTGTTTTAATTAGTTTCTTTTTTTGAGTTACTATAATCAACATAATTTTTTTTTTGAGAATTAATATTTATATCCCTTTTTTCATTCGACATACTTTATCTTAATCAGGATATAAATAAGGAAATGGCAGATCATGTAGCTTTTGGAATAATCCACCAATTTTTTAAAATTTAACACTATCTAAAGATTTGCATCGATGCAAGTTTTTTATGATAGTGATTTTAATCACTGTCAGATATCATTATACTTTATCCAACTATTACGTCAACAGTGTGCCGCGATCCCCTGAGCTGGTTTTTTTTATATTATTACTAATTAATAAAAACAAGAAAAAAAGATATTAATAATAATAAAAAAATAATTTTTTTCAAATTATTATTAATTTTGATTTTTAGTATGTTTAAAATAATCCGTTGAAAATGTTGATTCAAATTTCATTATTAACCTATTTTTTTGGTCCTTTAGAGTTGAATTTTACAAAAGTTAATAGCAAAAAAGGTTGAACTTTTTACCATAACTTATTTTTAGATCATCTTGCAAGTTTGATATTGACACCATCAAATAGAAAACTTTATGAGAATTTAAAAAATGGTATTGTTAATATTAATATGCATTCAGGAAATTGTTTAATTGCTATTTACAATAAATTTATGAGAAGAAGTCAAAATTTCGTTAAAATTACTTTTTGTTTTGCATTTTTATTGTAATAAATCATTTAAATATAATTCATAGTATATTCTATAATTAAAATATTCTGAACATAATTAATTTATTAATTATTTAAAAGTTAACAAAAATATCAGTGGACGAAATGACAAATGAAATTAGGACAGGGCCGACTAGGCCATGATTTGACCTAGTATTTAGAATCATTTTAAGATAAAAATTCTGAGAATTCCGCAAGAATAATATCATAATATTAAATGTAAATTATGACATTGTAAGTTAGTAATTAATAATAGTGTAAAAATTAAATTGCAAAAAAAATGCACAAAAATGGTTTCAAATTAGATATCTTTTAGTAAGGGACTCCAGCCCTTTTTTTCATGACTTCAGAAAACGAACGAAAAAGAGAAAAATTCCTTTTTAAAAATATTTTTTACAAGATATTAGGTCGCATAAGATCAATACGCAAAATATTTGATATTAAGATAACATAATTGAGTATTATTAATGCTGTACTAATAAAATTTTTAAATAATACTATTAAATTTAAAAATTGTTTTTTTTTATATTAGAATCCGCTTATATACATATAAGTGACCTCAATAACTTAAGTAATTGATCTTTACAAAATAGTGTTATGGATTTATTGTTTTGTTTTGTTGAATGTAATCTGAAGTTAAGCTGACGAATGATAAGAATCTTTCCTGGCTCTTCATTTGTATCATAATTGAAAAACATTTAACAAGAGCAACTGCTATCTAATGAAATAAAAAAAATATATAATTAAAATTTAGTTCAAATAAATATTTGATACTATAGAGATCTTTAAATATAATATAAATATTAATGTTAGGAAATTTAAGAAAACCATTTTCAACTTTTTTTTTTTTAAAAATATATAAAATAAAAATTATAAATTCTATATTATTAACATGGAAAACATGATGTTTAAACCAACAATTTTTTTTAGGATAACTAAAGTAACATAAATTCAAACTGACTACGGATAAATATGCTCGTACTAATAAATAAATATTTGACTCCTATTAATATGTCAAGATTATGAAGTAGGACTTCGACTTATGAACTTTGAAAATATCATATGTAATTTTTTTAAATTAAAATAAACAAAAATCTTTTAAAATATTTATTATAAAAAACGGTAGCACAGTGGGGTCGCGGCATAGTGGAGACATTTCATAGTTGGGTTCAGTCTAGATTTAATCTGACAGTGATTAAAATCACTATCATAAGAAACGCTTCGATGCAAATCTGTAAATAGTGTTTAATTTAAAAAAATTGATGGATAATTGCAAAAGCAACATCTACTTCTATTAAAATAAAATACAAAACCCATAATTTTCATACAAAAATAGCATATTTTTGAATATGGTAGCCATTTGCGTATAGAAGATAGGTTGTCGGGACAAATTTTTTTTTTTAATTTTATAGTACATAAAATAAGCTTTAATTTGATATATGTTTAAAGGACGGAGTATTTCCGGAACATTTTCAAAAATTAAGTTGAAAAAGTTATTTTTTGTAAAAAAGTTACTATTTTAAATCCCCTCAATGAGCAGAATAAGTGTTAGATTTTTAAAAAAAATGATAACAAATGAAAGGGAAATATCTAAGGTTTCAATACAAAAAAATATTATTTTTATTTGTTCATTTTTGAAAAAGTTATGGCAGTTTTAAGTACAAAAAACATCCCGATAAAATGTAATTTTTATCGCAAACATTACATTTTTTTTAGAATTTTCGACAGCCATTTGCACATAGAAGATAAGATGTCGGGACAAATTTTTTTTTTTCATTTGATAGTATATAACATAACCTTTGATTTGATATATGTTTAAAGGACGCAGTATTTCCGGAACATTTTCAAAAGTTCAGTTGAAAAAGATCTATGTTTTTTACAATATTTTAAGTTTTGAACGCCCCCTATATAAGGGGAAATTGTCCAATTTTAATAAAAAGTATGTCAAATGAAAGATGTACTTATAATGTATTTAGAAAAAAAAAATTTGTGCTGATATATACATTTTTCAAAAAGTTATAGCATTTTTAAGTTGAAAATTTAAAATCGAAAATCGAAAATTTTAACACAAAAATAGTGTTTTTTTAACTACGGCAGCCGTTTAAATGTAGAAAAAAAAGTGTCGGGACAAATTTTTTTTTTTCATTTTGTAGTACATAAAATAAGCTTTAATTTGATATATGTTTAAAGGACGCAGTCTTTCCGGAACATTTTCAAAAATTAAGTTGAAAAAATTAATTTTTGTAAAAAAGTTGCCATTTTAAATCCCCCCCAATGAGCAGGTTAAGTGATAGATTTTCAAAAAAATGATATCAAATGAAAGGTAAATATCTAAGGTTTTAGTATAAAAAAAAATTATGTTGATTTGTTGATTTTTCAAAAAGTTATGGAAGTTTTAAGAAAAAAAAGTGAAAAAATTTCGAAAATTAGCGATTTTTAAATTTGTAATTTTTTTGGATATTTCCCCCATTTGCGGGGAACGAGGGAATTTTTTTCAATTTTTAAGGGTAATGTCTTCAACTAGATACGATTTGTGTTCTTTTGACGTATTTTTGAAAGAAATCGGTCCAGTGAGAGCTGAGAAAAAGTGGCAACAGACATAAAAAAAAAAAAAAAAACACATCATAGTAAAATTAATACCTTCTCCGCTTCGCATTGAAGCTAAAATTGTTACTTTGATTGAAATTAAAAATACTCATATCAAAGTCATCTATAAGATACTCAAAATTTTATAACTATAAAAGCTTGAGTTTTTGGGTAGAAAAGAACTTAAAGTAGACCACCTCATTATTAGTATTATGATTTTTTCTACTTTATTTTAGCATAGTAATTATATATGATATACTTTTTCTTTAAATCGGACTATAATCCTTTATACAGGGGGAGTTTAAAACACAAAATTTCATATAAAAAAAAAAACTTTTTCAAGTTAATTTTTAAACATGTTTCGGAAATACTGATACTCTTACATATATATATATTTAATTAAAGCTTATGTAGTAAAATTTAAATGAAAAAAAAAAATTTCAGACTAGTTTGTTTTCAAGGTGAAAACTAATATCAAAGTAAAAAAAAAAGTAAGATTTTTGTAAAAAAAATCTATTTGATATTTTAAATTTTATTTCATGTAGATTTTGGAATAATCCATTCTATATATTTGCATCGAAGCGATTCTAATGACAGTTATTTTAAATGATTAAATCTATACTGGACCTAATTATGCCACATCCCCACAGTGCCGCAACCTCACTGTGTTGTCTTTTTAATTTAATAGTAAATGGCATTTGAAATTGTAATATAACTTTATTCGTTTATTAGATATAAACATTTAGTGTTTCAAAACCCAACTCAACGTATCATTTGCGGAGAGTCGTCGGCGGCCGTGCGGCACTTGCTGGACTTTGCACAGTGGCTTATGGCACGCGATATTGGTCAGTCAAACAAAAATACTCATAGTAGGACAACGGCTGACAAAGGTGGCACTAGTGGCGGGACCGTATCATCATAAAATTTTGTTTATACATAATATATATATAACAATAATATATATTATATGTATATAATATACAGGGTGGCCCACCACTCACTGACAACTTAAATAACTTTTGATCCAGTTAATATTTTTAATTGATTTTTTTTTTAAATAATAGTTATACATTAGGTTTATAGATATAACTCAATAATTAACTTTTTTAAATTTTATTAAAAATATTAATTATTTTTTAATTTTAAATAGAATGTAAAAAAAAATCTAAGATAGCTATTTTGTAGAGTACACCCAGAGAAAAACCTCGATCTATATAATAAATTCATTGTTCAATTTGATAAATATATCATTCCTATTGAATCAATGATATATTTATCAATATGATATTTTTTTTTCTTGTCTTGAACAATAATTATTTATAAGAATAGTTATTTTGTTCGTATTAATAAAACATTATCATAAACCCTTGATAAAATTTCTCTTTCAATTTTGATTGAGGTTTTTCTTTGGGTGTA